AAAAAAAAAAAAAAAAAAAAAAAAAAAAAAAAAAAAAAAGGAAGGTGCAATGCTGCTTCCTGAACACTTTGTTACGATTTGGCTTTCAATGTGATTGTGCAATCTGAATATTGTCATCTCGCTTCTGTTCATTTTCCTTGCACAAATTCCTTAGTAAATTGGAAATAAGCATAAAATACGAAAAAATAATAATAATAACTATTAACAAGTTCAAAAAAAAAAAAAAAAAGAGAATTAAAATTAGTGCGTGGGTGAGCACGTTTTCGACACCACCATCTTTGGCGATTTTTCATTTTTTCTTGGGATAGCCAAATGCCCCGAAAATCTACAGATGCGTTCATGTAATATAAAGCTCATGAAGTAATAATAATAATAATAATAATAAAATGTTTGAGGCACCAAAATAAAATCAAAACAAAAACTTCAAAAAGTGAAAAGTGAAAAAAAAAAAAAAAGAGTGGCCGAGCACGTTTTGACCCGCCATCTTTGGCGATTTTTCTTTTTTTTTTGGATTGGCAAAATGCCTTGAAAATGTATCTCATAGTATATGCATTGAGTGGATGTCATACAGAAATCAGAAAAAAAAAAATCAACAAAAAAAAAAAAAAATTAGGCCCCGAAATAATTTTTGGCGGGGGCCAAACCCCTTCAGGTTTGGACCCCGAACGCGACCCCGAACGTCCGAACGTTCGGGGATCAGCCCGGGGGCCCCCGAACGTTCGGCCTGGTAAGTTGGTAACCATGGTTCAGTTTATTTTTCTGCATAACATAGTTTGTTTTCGGGGGTTTTCGGATTTCGTTCTTGTTTTTGCTAGAACCTTCCCTGCATAACATAGTTTGTTTTCAAAGTTTTTGGATTTCGTTTTTGTTTTTGCTAGAACCTTCCCTGGCCCTTGCACGGATGGGCCGCCCAGGAAAAACAAGGTGACCCAGGCGGCTCCCGGCTGGTAGCCTAGAAGAAAAGTTAAAAAACAGATAAACTTGAGAAATGACTTCTGAGTTCGTTGCGGTACAATGCCTAACTGATGAGGAGACAGACATTCATCCTTGTGATATGACATCTTTCTTTTTTCTTGTCTCCCAAAAAAAAAAAAACATCTTTATTATATAAGCTGGACACCAGGTCCAGCGTCCCCTACATAACAGACCCACTCTGCCACACTTCCTTCCATTATGGCTTTGGAGATCAAAATCACATCGGATTCCTTGGCCAAATGCAGCCATGAATCCTCCATGATAGTAGGGAGCTACATCTGTGGGAATAGGATAGCCGCTAAGATGCTTTTCTGGAGAACAAGAATAAGGATTCAACACCTTGCTGTGCTGTTTGCTTGAGTCCGGAACACGCAGCATTGCTCGAGTCCTGAAGACCAACATCCATCAACACCAAGACGGGCTAAGAAAGCTACTACCGTCTTCCCCCGAACACAAAGCACCCTCATTTTGACTGCATCGGACTGGAAACACGGCTTGTATAGGTTCATTTTCAGGGTGCGTTATGTTCGGGGGAAGACGGTAGTGCCGGACAAATAGAGTAACATACTACCTTCAGTTTCTTGAGTAATGCATGGGGATCTACCAAATAGTCTATGAAAAATCCCAAATCAACAATCAACGATTGAAACTCTTAGGTGACAAGCCAGTCTAGTAGTAGTAGTTATTTAGCTTGGTAAAGGCCAGTCATTCAACAATGCTCAGCCGGTCATTTTGGCCATCATGAATATTGTTGTTCTTTGTTCTATTCTATATGCCCGATTTAGTTCAGCATCTCAGAATCCCTTTATGTGCAATTTTGCCATAAAGCTCCACCCACACATAACGATCAATGAGGGAGGCTTGGTTTCTGGTTCAGGGTAGCCCTAGGCAGATCCGGCAATGGATGAGGGAGGCAATGATATCCGCCTAA